CCCGGGACGGCCCGCCGGTCCCTCGGTCCTCGGCGCCCGGTCTGCGCCGCGCTCCGCGCCGTCCGGACCTTCCGCTGCCTCCAGCAGCCGGAGTGTTCCTGAAGCGTCAGTCCCTCTTCGAACTCGGCAGGACCAGCGCACTTTCCGAAAAGGCGTCGATGTGCAGGATTTGCAAATATCGCATCATAGAAGAACAAAATATGAGAACACCCTTTTTATTCTAGCTTTCTCTACATTCTCCCTAGCAACCAAAGGCAGAACTACACAGGCAAAGAGTTATTTTTAAAGCAGCTAATTGAGGTATAGTTGGTTTACGATCAACTTCACGATCAACTGCGCAGTTGTAAAGCGAACAATTTGATCTTTTTGGCATCCGTATATATCCGTGAAAGTACTATCATAACGAAGAGAGTGAACGTATCCATCGCTTCCAAACATTCCTTTATGGCTGTATAATCCTCGCATCCCGCCCTTCCCCAGGCTCTAGCAACTATTGATCTGTGTTCTCTTCCGTGAGTTTGATCGTGATGTGTTACCCATTTAATAATTCCTTGATTTATTTGGTAAGATTTTGTTCAAAAGTTTTGCATCTCTGCTCATGGGCGATATTGCCTGTAGTTTTGTTTAATGTCTGCCTTAGCTATTTTCTTGTTGCTGAGACAAAATACCCAACACCCAAAGTTAAGGGAGGAAATGTTTATTTCATGTCAGTTTGTAGAGGTTTCAGTCCGTAGTGGGCTGGCACCAAGGCAGGGCGGCATGGCAGAGGAGAAATAGTCCGTGGCAAAGCAGGCAGGAGGCAGCAAGCAGTAAGCAGCAGCCTGCCTCTTCTGTCCCTTTGTATTCCACACAGACTACAGGCCTATTCATTGGTGCCACTCAGTTAATGGTGCCCAGGGTGGGACATACTCTCCACACACTAATCCCAGTATCACGCCCTAATCCAACCGCCTTTGGAACTCCCCACCTGTGATTGCACAAGGCTTTGAGGGAACATCCTGGTACAACTATAACAATGTCTTTTATCAGTTTTGACATTTAAAGTAATTCTAACCTCAGAGTAAGATGTGAATTAGTTCCTCTTTAGGTGAAATTTGAAAGGACTTTTCCAGCTTCCAACTCATCTCTCCAACACACACACATACAACACACACACATACAATTTGGACAAAGCTTAGTTTCAACAGGGGCAAACTATAAGAATCTCTTAACCCTCTTCACATCAACATGTGTTTAAGAAATAAATATGTTGGTGCCTTTTTTTTTCAGGCTGGAAATTTGACTTCCTTGATTTTGCCAGAGAGTGAGGGTGAATCTCAAAGTCAGAATTGTACAGCTCAGGGACTGGGGATTTAGCTCAGCGGCAAAGTGCCTGCCTGGCAAGCGCAAGGTCGTGAGTAAGGTTCCCGGTACCGGAGAAAAACCAAAAAAAAAAACAAAAAAAAAAAACAAAAAAAAAGAATTGTATAGCTCAGATCTAGTGAAAATCCGCAGATGCCAGTGGCCTTAGGAATAATTCATTCTATTCTGAAAGAAATAAAGGGGAAAATATTCTGCTAATGTCTCTATTTCACTCTTCTATATAGGATGTTGGCAAACTGTAGAGAATTTCCCTTCAGACTCTGGTTAGTCCATATTTACTGAACTTGCTAAATGGCGTCAGTTCAGCTCTAGGATGTATTATCAATGGCACATGAAGAAAAATTTGTGTATATTTTCAGTGCTTGTTGTTTAGGTTATGATAATTTTTATTTAGCTAAGAAATTCATGAAAATAACATTCTTCTTAGAACAAATGGAAGCATGATCCTAAAGCCTCCTTTAAACAAACTACTTTGTACCTTCACCAACCCTTAATCCTTGACAGTTCCTCAGCAGGAATGTGTTTTCCACCAGTCTTATTTCTGTGCATTTACATTCCTGTGTATATCCTTCGGGATCATAGTATTTGTGTGAATGTTTTTTAAAAGCTGCCACAAGAATCTGCAATTTTTTCTTTCACTTTAAAAAAATTTTTCCAGTACTGGGGATTGGGCCCAGAGCCTTCATAATGAGCTACCCTTTAATATTTTTTATTTTGAGTCAGGGTCTCACTGTGTTACCAGGCTGAGCTCAAATTTGGGATCTTCCTATCCTACCTTATCCTGTCATGTGCTGAAATTACAGGCATGTACCCCTATGCCCAACTGTGATTTCTTTTATTTACTCAAAAGTATATCTTGGAAATCTACCCAGGTAAGTTTGTAAAGTCTACTTCATCCTTCTATTTCTAGGATTTCATCTTCAAGTTTAATAATTTTTGTAATTTACTGGTAGGCATACTTTATGTAATTTTTTTAAAGCTCTATTTTTGACTGTCTGAGAATTCTTATCTATTTTAAATTTGAAATGAATGATGCATATCAAGTGCTCTTTCTCTGCTACTTATTGAGATGACCGTATAGTTTATTGCCTTTTTCTGTTAATATAGTAAATTAGTGACACCTTGTCAAACGTTAAACCATCCTTGGATTCTGAGATAACTCTTCTAAGTTAGTTCCTTTTTTTTTAAAGTTAATTTTTTATTCCTGGTACCACTACCACAATTTACAGGGCAATATACCTGATGTAATGAAAAGAAAGAAAAAGTCAAAGCTACAACAGATAAAAGACCTCAGGGATGTACGTCTAATTGATGCTACATTGAATTAATCCATAGCTGCACTTTTTGCAAACTGGCTGTGACAGTCCTGAACTAGAAGGGTTTCCTGTTTAAGTTCCAGTAACTTTTCTGACTATGAATCATCGTTCCTTCTGTAGCATATTTTTACAGTTCCTCTAATGCATTTGGAACAGCTGTCTTAAAGTAACCTGCAGCTTTCTTGACAACTCCTCACTCTCTCCCCTGCTAAGATCTCTAGCACTTCTCTGTTGTTTTCTAAAAACCTTCTGCTACCATATCTACCACTTCCACCACCAGATCCATAACCACCACCATAGGGACTGCCAGAGCTGCTTCTACCAAAACTGTCCCCCTTCATGGATCTGTAATTTGATTGCTGTTGTCAACTATGATTTCCAAAAT